CTGCATTTCACTCAGTTTGTGATAAAAAGGAACATAATCATTGTTAATTACTCAGTTAGCTTCTGGGATGTGCTCATCACTTGACCACCAGCATGCCCAAATGCTAAAATATTCACCAAAAATACAAAATATTTGATTTTGAAACATGAAGATATTCAAAGCCTTGACAAAAATATTCAGAACATATGAACAAAAATATCAATAATACAAAAAATATTCAACAGAATGCAAATTATGTGCTAGAACAACATACAAATATTTGATAAAATACAAATATATATGAAAAAAATATTAGAAAACGAAATACTACCCAAAAATATAACAAAGAAACAGACAACAAAATACAAAAAATATCAAAAACAAAAATACAAATACATTATCTGTGGAAAAACTAGTAGTGCTTCCTGTTTTTGTGTCAAACGATGATTTAATCCTTTTCCGATCCAAAGGCCTGTCTAAACAGATTCCCAGAGCTGATTCTATGATATTGTCCTCCCGCGACATGTGGAGGAGTGGCGCTTATTAGCGTGGAAATGGAGTCAGACTGAACGCTTTTTGGGTGTTAATCATTCTTTAAGCATCCATATAGGTCCGCGCCCTCTTTCTCCTCCTCCTTCTGTTAGGGTTGAAAAGAGGCCCGCTCACTTCTTATTTCAGCCTCCACATTCCCAGAGTTAATGAACTCCTGCGCCGTGTTTAGACAGATTCGTCCGTGTTTTTGCCAACGTCGGCCCGGTCACGCTGAGGAGGTCACATGAGGAGAAAAAAAACAAAAACACAATAACACCTCAGCACAGAGAAGTGTGAGGATCAGATTAGCATTCAATGCGAGTCCAGTAAAAACAATTCTTAATGTGCCACGATGGAGATTTAAATATGCTACCGTGAAAAATGAAATCAACACAATGATTTAAAGCCGCTGTAAAGTGAAAAGAAATGTCTTCTAAATTTGACACACCACAGAGAAGAGAATTGTTGAAGCGGCATTGAAAGCCACAAGAAGTGCTAGCCACCAGCTAGCTTGAAAGCTAACCGGTGCTGTTGGAGGGGGCAGTGGGCTTGTCTGCAGTGCCACCTGCTCACTTGGGAATTTAAATTATGACAGTGAGCTGTTCTATAAATGATGGCATTCAGGGAAGATGTATTTTCGTGGTGTACCCACAGCGAGCTAGCGAGCTATGTGTACACTATAAATAGGCCACATATTTACGAATAGGCCACATATTTATGATGAAATAACTCTGAATTGTGGTGGATAGTTGCTGATGCGAACAAAGGAACTCAAGTTTTTACATCGAAGGACCAAGCGTGTTTTGCTGTTTGTGTGGCTTTTGTGTGTGTGTGTGTGTGTGTGTGTGTGTGTGTGTGTGTGTTTTTTTGGGGGGGTAGGGGTGTATGGTGAGTACAACAGGAACTAGACTGACAAATGTTGCAACCAGTGTTTGCCTTTCAGTCTCTTATTCCTCTGCCGTGCCGGGACCCACCAGCTGCAGCGGCAAACGACTTTTTCATTGCCTTTAACCTTGAACCCGCAGCCACCCCACCTCAACATCCAGACACAAGCCGGTGGGCCGGCTTTGAGGGGCCACAAAGAGCCATGTCCCCTCCAGAGGGGTCTTTGTGAGGCACAGGCCTGTGAAATGCGTCTCTGGTCTTGTTTGGCCGTGAGGGATTATGGTGGCGGGCCGCTGCAGAGTGGCGGAATTCCTTTCATGTGACGGCCCCTCCAAAATAAAAAAATAGCGGAGATTTAGGATGGGCAGCCTATATACACTAGTTGGGGTGGGGGGGGGGGGGCGATACAAAGGAATTCATACAATGCAAGTGAATTGTGTGTGAAGATGACATGATAAAATGCAAATTAGAGTGCTGGGAAGATGGCGGATCCCACAGTTACACGCAACATTTTCAGGTGATAAATTTGGCTTCTGCATTGAGCATAAAAAAAACAAAGCAATTACTCCCGGTTCAGATCACTGGTGGAGCCCGATGTAGCCTACGTATGCGTGTCGTCTTTTTAAATCATAAATCACGTAGCTAGTAGATCTTTTTTATTAGACACAAAAAGCACACCAGCAGTACCGGAAAAATATCCCATTTTAACGTAACAACTTATCACGGTAAAACATGAAATTTATTACATTATAAATGTACGGAAGCGTGGAGCTGCCAATGTGGAGTAAAAATATTTGAAAAATTAACAAAGTAATTCACAAATAAGACAAGCATTTGCACAAATAAAGGCCTCACCTCAAATGAATGCCTTCCTTGGAATAAATTCTATGCTTGTGAATAAATACAGTAAAGACCCCTGAGGAAATACAATAATAATAAAAACAGAACTTGCATTCTTGTGTTTATTGTTCCGGATAAAACTTAAGTAATTTATTTGATAAAAGGCAGTCCTACTTCAAATAACCACCCGCTATTCTATGCAGTTGAGGAGTTATTTGCTTGTAACTTGTGATTTTAGTGGGAATCTAAAGCTAAATATCGCTGCTGGGCAGAGTGTGGCCTTGTGTAAAAAGCAATAATGGAAATTCCTGCACGGATGAGCGGCTTTTTGGCGGGGGGCGCTTTTTTTTTTTTTTCTTTTAATGGGCAGCCTGTGGACAGGAACACAAATTCATGTGGATGGAGCTCATCTCGTGCACGAAGAGGAAACACGAGCGAAGACTTGAAGCAGGAAACATGAAAAAGAGTGAGCTGGCCCTTTTTGCTCCATGCCATTCTTTTTCCAGTAAGCAAGCGGGAACGAGCCACCTGCGCTTCACAAAGACAGCATTCATCGGCAAACGCGGCGACATTCCGGTACACGAGCCGGGAAATCTCCTGATTTGATTCTGCTCGCTGTGATTGGTCAGGTGAAACATCATAGACGATATGGAGGCGGCGTTGGCGGCTGAAGATTCAAAAGCGACTTCTACCGCAACAATTGCTACTGATAGTTGAACTATCTTGCTCAATTAAACATAAACAAAAGGAAATAGACACTTATTTAAAATAACCACATAGCTTTGGCTTAGGAAAGTCCAGTTAGCTTAATGCTAACAAATAAAGCAAAATGATTTCACATTTCGACCTACATCAGAGCAGATCAAAATTTAATCTCCCACTGATGAACTTTAGCGAGACTCGAGACTAACTCCATCTGTATTTTAAAATTCCAATAACATTGCGAGTCATCTTCCGTTTGCAAGGGACAATGTCATGGTCACAGCATTAAAGTGGAGCAGATTTTTTTTCAGACCAGCTGCTACTGGGACTGCAATGTGTTAACGGTATTTGTAAAGTCAGCTCAAGGAGTACTTCCCAATCACTCTGAACGTCCTCCTGGCTCACCATTCCTGCCCTAGCCTGTCCCACTAGCTTCGGGCTGCCTCGACCGCATTACCGAGCCTAGGAGGTAGATAATTGTTAACCCTCTGCAAGGCTGGAAGTGCCGAACAACAATCAGGTGCTTTTTGCTCATGTCGCAACACTGAAAGCCGTGGCTGCAGCTGTTATATATTCCGATGTGGGAAAAAGTATTTTAGTAGAAGTACAGTATCGGTACTTCTACTCTGGTATGAGTAGAAGGACATTCTGAAAAACAGATCAGTTATTCAGTTGTAGGACTTTTTGGGTTCACAAAGGCCTACTCAGCTAAAACAGATCATTAAACTTGTACAACTGTCACTCATATGTGATAAGACTGAGTTTTTCTGAATTGCATTCATTGAATTCAATTCCCCTTCCTGTAATTCAAATTCAATTCAATATCCTGGAGTCAATTCAGTTTCATCCATTGAATTGAAGGAATGGAAATGTTTTCAAATTTCGGAAATAAGTCCAAGATCAACAGGAAAAATAAAAAAAGTAAAATAATGATACATCCAATATATATATATATATATATATATATATACTCGTCTCACCCCTCGGGTGGTGTCCATCCCTCATTCAGCTCGGGTCCTCTACCAGAGGCCAGGACG